TCTCTCTCTCTCTCTCTCTCTCTCACACACACACACACACACACACACACACATTCTCTCTCCCTCCCTCCCTTCCTCCCTCCCACTCTTTCCCCCCCCAATCCCTCTGCCCTCTCTTTGTCTCTCTCACACATTCTCTCTCTTTCTCTCTCTCCCTATCTCTCTCTCCAACCCATGTACTCTTAATCCATCTCTCTGGCCCACACTTGTCTTTTTCTTTAAAATAAAAAGATCTTGACATTCAGGGAGATCGCTCAAGGCATAGAGAAAACGCATAATGTGTACAGAACAGTGAGTTTGATTCCCAGTGCCACATGGTACCCAATAGCACCAGGTATAACACTAGTAGCACCCAAACACTGTCAGTCTCAGCCAGAAGTTGTCCATTTAAAAAAAAGAATGGTTTTGAAAAATGAAAAGACAGCACAGGAAAAATGTTTCTACAAGGAAGAAATAGATAAATATGAGATAGTTCAGGTGTTTCACTGATGGTAGTGTTGTTGATTTTTTTAAGGTAGGGCATGCCAAGTCAAACCTTCTCAGAAAAAAAAAAATCCCCCCAAATCTGCAGGAAATAAGATATCATTTCAATAATTTATTTCAAAACTTCAGATCTAAACAAATCAGCAAAACCTACGAAATTGAGATTAAAATATTTGATAAAATGTTAACATGTTAAATACATTTCGTGAATAAAAAAAGTTCATTATACTATTTTTTCTAACTTTCTTGAACATTTTATAATAACAGTAACAAAAATTGAAATTGAAAACAACAGACTTTAGTCTGTTTTAAAAGGAAAGCAACAGAAGAAGCAACAGTGGAACAGAAGCTGTTAATATCCTCCCATCATAAAACTAAGCCTTCACAGTTCTATATACATAGTAGTAGTAGTACTAGTATAATAACCAGAAAACTGTTCTTTTTTGCATTGAGCAAAGATTTTTGGAAAGAAATTTGCTTAGAAATTAGGAACAGTCATAATTCACCTAAATAAAATATTTAGAGATCATTTCAATTAATCTCTCACTTTACAGATGAGAAAACTGAAGACTGAAAAATGGAATAAAATAGCTATCGATCTGAGACCCAGGGCAAAAACCTAGGTTTTATGTACTCAGGTCTGTCTACTACCCTTGGTTGGCATATAACACTGAACAACACTGCCAAGTCCTGGAACCTCATATTCTATTATTTCTACTGTGCCCAAATTAGGACATTCTTTTCCACAGTGGATTCAGAGAGGGTGTGGTGGACCCTCTAGAACTAGACTTATTAAGATGAAGGTCAAAGAGGTTACAGTCAACCACCTTCAATAGTTCAGCTGTAGAAGCACCGTAAAGCACCTCTCTGGTGGAGCCAAGCAAAGGATCTCCCTCCTTTCTAGAGGATCTAGAGGGAGCAAGAAAGATGGTCGGGCCCGTGATTTTATGAAATGGAATTTATTAGAGCTCTGCCTCTCCCTTTATAATTCCCAAACTACACTGAGCCCAAGAGGGCTCAGAAGAGATTACACCACTTTGCCATCAATGTGAGTCACACATTACCAGATACAGAAATGGGCGAATGAGAAGAACTGAAATTAGACTCAGACTAAACAAGAATGGAGATGACTGATTTTCCTATAATCTTCCCTTCTGTGTAAACAGGAAGGATTACGGTTCACAGAACCAACTCCCCAGTTTGGAACCAACACCAACATGGGTATCTATTGCCTCCTCTGTGTGAGGAGAATAAATATTATTTATAGTCCTAATATCAGTTCGTTGTTTAAAAGCAGTGCATACAAACGGTGTTCCACTGAGTGGGTGGAGCGTTTGCCTTGCATGCAGCCAATCTGGGTTCGATTCCTTTGCCCCTCTCAGAGAGCCTGGCAAGTTACTGAGAGTATTTTGCCCAGTTCCGAAAAGGATTCAGCACCATCGACCATATCCACACGATAACCAAGCTCATTGAGGTTTCTCAGGAGTTCAAGATGCCGCTCTGTCTAATGTTCATTGATTTTAAAGAAGGTCTTTGATTCTGTTGAGATGGAAGCGGTCATCGAAGCCCTAGCCAATCAGGGCATTCAAACTCAATACATCAGGATCCTCCATGAGCTGTATTAGGGATTCACTACCAGGATCTCACCATTCTACAAAGAAGTGATCGTTGATGTCAAGAGAGGGGTGCGGCAGGGTGATACCATTTCACTGAAACTCTTCAGTGCCACCCTCGAGCACATCGTGCAACGACTGGAATGGGAAGAAATGGGAGTGAAGATAGATGGTCGGCAACTACACCACCTCCGTTTTGCTGATGACATTGTTCTAATAACACCAAACATTAGCCAAGCGGCACAAATGCTGGCCGACTTTGACCGTGAGTATGGAAAGGTAGGACTACAGCTGAATCTTATGAAGACAATGTTTATGAGAAACAGCCTCGTTCCTGACACCCCATTCGCTCTCAATGGAACGACCATCTCCAAATAGAACAGTTATGTGTACCTAGGTCGAGAAGTCAACATGATGAATGACCTGGCACCTGAGTTGCGCAGGAGGAAGAGAGCGGCTTGGAATGCCTTCAAGAGCATTGAAGATATAATTACGAGGATGAAGAACCTCCAGCTCCGGGCACATCTCTTTGATTCCACTGTTCTTCCTGCATTAACATACGCCTCAGAGACCTGGGCCCTAAGAAAACAGGATGAGAACGCTAGCTATTTGGGTCTCCCAAAGAGGAATCAACAGAGCTATGCTTAGAGTATCACGCTTCACTCAAGTGAGAGAAAGAATCTGGAGCTCCGACCTCCATCGACGATCAAGAATCAGGGACGCTGTCTCGTTTGCCAAGGCGTCAAAAATCAGATGGGCTGGACACGTAATGAGATTTGGAGACGACCGCTGGACTAGAGCCATTACTGACTAGATTCCATGGGACTTCAAAAGACCGCGGGGCCGCCCACCTACCAGATAGTCAGACTTCTTCATCAAGATCCTGAACAATCGGTTTGAGGCTCTTCATGTTCCTAGAATGAACACACACCATTGGGCAACACTAGCACGCTACAGGGACAAATGGAGACGTTACTGGCGCCCACTGGAGCAAATCGATGATTAACGGGAAGTCAAGTGATCAAGTGATTTTGCCTGCATGGCAAAGCCTGGCAAGCTCCCTGTGAGGTATTCAATATGCCAAAAAAAACAGTAACAAGTCTCACAATTTGTTGTGAGATGTTACTGGAGCCTGCTCGAGCAAATCGATGAATAATGGGAGGACAGTGAAAGTGACAGTGATCCATGCCCTCAGAATGAGCCCAGGAGTGAAAGTAGTGAATTTAATTTTACATAATACTCAGGTTCCTAAGTAAATCTATTAATTATTATGTGGTGACCTGACCGATAATACAGTAGGCAGGGCCTTAGCAATGCACGCAGGCAACGGGAGTTCGATCCTTGGCATCCCCTGGGATCCCCTGAGCACAGAGCCAGAGGTTAGACCTGAGCACCACGGGGTGTGCTCCCTCTCCAAAAAGCCTCGCAAATGTCTTCATTACATAAGGACAGTTTCAGGTGCACCCTGCAGACTCCCCTCCACTGAACCCCTATTCCACGGAGCCACCTACCAGTAACCAGAGCATGCGTTAACCCAAAATCGGAGATGGATGCCTCACAGATCTATGTATGGCTTGCTTTTTTTTTTTTAATTTTCTACAATGGTAAATATTCTTTCAATAAATGGTGATAAATATTTGGGCATCAGTAACTAAAAAATGAAACCTTATACCTTATGCAAAAGTTACATTAAAATGTATCAAAGATATAGAAGTAGCATTGCTTTTTAAATTAGGAGAGGACACAGAAAAATATTTATACCTTACATTAGTTGAATTCTTTAAACTTGACAGTAAAAGCATTATCCATGGAATTGAAAAATTGTCAAACTGGACTTTGTATATATGAACATTTGGATCTTTTTCGCCTTTTGTCTACATTTATCTATCAGGGCTGGAAAGATTGTACAGTACCTTTATACACACATAGATATATCCAGGTTAGAGAGAATACAGTGGGGACAGCGCATGCCTTGCATGTGGTCAACCTGGGTTTAATCCCTTTTACCACATAGTCAAATAATGCCACACACGGTCTTTTGCGATAGACTTCTTTTGCTTAGGATAAGACTTTTAAGGCTCATCAACTCTTTAGCACACAGGACCATTTTCTTTCTTTCGATTGATAACCAATTGTGTGGCTGTCCTACCTTCAGACAGTGTCGTATGGCTTGCTTTTTTTTTTAAAAAGATCCTTCGGAAACCCTTGCCAACACCTGGGCTCATTCGCTCAAAACGTGGTCATGAGCGGGGACACAGCGGGGACGGCATTTGACCCGGGTTCGGTTCCCAGCATCCCACGGGGTCCCCCAGCACTGCCAGGGGGTGATTCCTGAGTGCGGAGCCAGGAGCAACCCTCGTGCACGGTTTGGCTGTCTGGGCGGCTCCGCCCACTCACGAGGGGGGCACGGGCGTGGGGGGCGCCGCGGGCTGCATCCCAGGGGCGCGGCCTTCCGGGCTCTCCGCCTGGCTTCTTCACTCGGGCCAGACCCTGCGGCTGGGCGAGTCCGGGGTGGGCGCTAGGCCCTTTGCGGGCCGGGGCGCTCGCGGGCCGCCGTGCACGGACCCCGCGGGCGCAGCGTCGGGCTCCCGCGCCCCTCGGGGCGCTCATCTCCAGCCCCCGGAGAGCACCCGGGGAGGAGGGGCCCGAGCGCGGCTGCACTTCAGGGTCACGAGCCACGCGACGGCCCCGCGGCCCGTGCGCGTCCCGGGGGCGGCCCGCGCAGACGAGCAGCGCGACTCCGGGGGCCCGTGCGGGCGCGGCGGGGCGGGGCGCGGCGGGGCGGGGCGGGGCGGGGCGGGGCGCGGCGCGGCGGGGCGGGGCGGCCCCCAGGGCGCCTGCGCGGAGCCTCGGCCGCGCCGACGCCCGAGCCCGCTAGGCGGCGGGGCGGGCGCCGAGGACGCCGGCGCGCATGCGCCGTCCACGTCGCGGCCCGTAAACAGCGGGCCCCGCGGGGGGCGACTTCTGCTTCCGGGTCGCGCTTGACAGCGGCGCCGCAGCCCCCGCCGAGCGCCGCGCCGGGTGAGTGCGGCCCCCGCGCCGGTAACGCCCGCCCGGGCCCGCGCCTGGGCCGCGCGCGCCCCCGAGGCCCCGGCGCCGTCCCCGGCCGGGGCGAGGCCGGGGCGGGGGTCGCGGGGGGCGGGCACGGTCGCCGGCCCGGGCGGGCGGGCCCCGCGGCTCCCCCCACGCCGCCTCCTGCTCCGGGGGCGGCGGGGCGGGGCGGGGCGGGGGCGTCGGACCCCCGCCCGGGCCGGATTGTGACCGCTCGGGGCATCGCCGCGGGAGAGCCCGGGCCCCGCGAGCCGGGGAGGCCGGCTCGAGCCACCGGCGCGCAGGAACCCATCTGCCTGAGCCTGCGTCCTCTCAGTTGGCAGAGGCGGGTGGTCGGCAGAGCAGAAGCCGTTGTTTATCGTGCAACGCAGAGCGCGGACGGGGCGCCACGCCACGGAGCAGAAGCAAAATGCTGTAGCGCTTGGGGCTGGAGAGAGCGCGCGGGGCGGGCGCTTGCCGTGCACGCAGCCGACCTGGGTTCGATTCGGCACCCCAGAGGGTCCCCGGGCACCGCCAGCAGTGACCCGGTGTATCGCCGGGTGTGACCGAAAAAGAAAAAAAGACGTGGTGCTCTAGTGGCACTGTCCTCCTGCTGCTCACCCATGTTCCCAAGCGGGCACCAGTGCCATCCCCATTGTGAGACTTGTTCTTGCTGCGTTTGGCAAATCTGACAGGCCAGGGCAGCTGGCCGGGCCCTCCGGGAGGGGCGGGGGAACCGGGCCTGGGTCGGCCAGGGCAGCGCTGCGAGGCAAACGCCTCCCCGCTGTGCTGTCGCTCCAGCCCCAGTTCCGAGCTACATCGCTTCAGTTACCATAAAAGCAAAACACTCCCCCGTTGCTCACCGATCCGCTCGAGCGGCCCAGTAACGTCGTGAGACTTGTCGAGACTGTGTCTGGCACACCGAACACGAACACGTCGCGGGAGCCCGCCAGGCTCTGCCCTAGGGGAGGGAGGAGGAATGAACTCGGGCGGCGCCGCATGCAAGGCAAACGCCTGCCGCTGTGCTATGCCAGAATAAATAGCATTGTTCCCTTAGTGATCATTGCCTAGATCGTGTTTAAGTGCCACAGTCTTGATACTTTTAGGCGTCCACGCAATTAGCTTTGACGTTGGTGTAACAGTATTCGAGAATCTTCCCTGTCCCGAGCGCTATCGAAAGTGACGCTGTGTTTACTCCCCAGGAGCTGTAGATGAATGGAACCATAGATTCCTGAGTAGCCACGTTGGTAGAGCATACTGTATTTTCAGATTCTGATATTTTTAACAGAGATGCTACATCTTGTTTTCTGTAACCTTAATCATCTAGCATGTCGTTCCTAATCAGCCAAAAACATTAGGATCGTTCATTATAATCTTCATCCTAAACTCTGCCATTTTGTCGTTTCAGCATGTAGTTGCCTAAAACTGTTTTTCAGTTATCACGATGAACAGCCAGTTTTTTGCTTTCATTTTATCCTCGTAGCTCTGCTTGTTTACTTGCAACTTAAATGTGACTGATGTGATCCTTGAAATTTTTTCGAATTTTAGTAGGCGACTACAGTATAATTATACTTTTACAATCCCTCCTTGTTGTAGACTGTTACCTTGAATTGGTCCTTTTTTCCTCTTACAGAAACATCTTAGACTGTTTCACAGACACTTTGCTTTCACTAACATTTGCTAGTTTCATAGCCTTTTCCCTCTCCTTAGAGGCAGGATTGGCCTCCGTACCCGTTAGTCAGATAACCAATATTTATTAAATATCCACTTTTGTGAAACTGGCTGTTGCGCTGTTACTTGTGTAAAACAAATACAAGTCATGGACCTTGATTAAAATTTAGATGAAGAGCTAATGTGCACAAAAACATACTGCACAGTCAAATGTAACATATCACCTAAAGGCAGTGTTGATAATAAAGATCACAAAATTCAGAGGAGGAGAAGAATGTTTTGGCATCCTCAGCTTTTAAAAACCCTTTCTGAAGGCTAAGGAGAGAGTCGAGTGCCTAATATGTGCAAGGCCCCAACGTCAGTCCCCAGCTCCGAATGTTGGATCCTCCCTCAGCACTCAGAGCACCTGATGTGGCTCCTTTAAAAAGTGGTTTTAAACGCCCTTATTTTAACCAGTCTTGTCTGTAGACGAAACAGACCTTTTTAGGAATCTGTTTGTTCTGGTTGTGTTTGTTTTGGGGCTACACCTGGTGGTGTACTCCTGGCATTGCTCTCAAGAATTCCTCTCGGTGGTGCTTGGGAGACCACAGGGGACACCTGTGATCAAACGTGGTTCTGCCTCACGCGAGGCGAGTTGCCCTCCCACTGGCGATCGGTCCCTTCTCCGGAGTCTTGGGGAAGTCTGCCAAACAAGGCCAGAGAGGGTCAAAGCTTTGGCATCGCGCTTTCCCCAAACTACTACAACTCATTTTCTTATGACTAAGACTATATATGATTTCCGTGAAATCTTTTGTTAGTGTTAGGAAGTCCACAAAGTACTTCTCCCTGTGGGGCAGGAATGATCAGTGACACTATGTTTGCCTAAACCTTCCTTATTCCAGGCTTTTGGAGCATGTGAACATACTCTGAGCCTTGATGAGTTCCAGTATGTGGTATATTATGCAGAGTATTCAGAGCAAATACTCTCTCTCAGAACGCTTGATCCGAACAATCGCTGCCATCCGTTCCTTCCCACATGATAATGTGGAGGACCTCATCAGAGGGGTGAGTATGCGTCCAGTGGTGTGCATTCTTTTGGGAGGGGAATCTCAGTAAGAGTACAGATGTGCAACTCGGCTCAGCACAGAAATGCACTTACCAGACCATTGAGATCTATTTTGGCCGGTGTTTTACTCCTCTCTTTCCCTTTGTGTATCTGATATTTTTCTTCAGGAAATACAGTCTAGATAATTCACTGCTTATTTTTTTTAAAAAAACCGACTTAGAATATATGGGATCCAGGAAACTCAGAAGTATTCTACGTGTGTTTACTAAGGGAGGAAGAGAGTGAACAAAGCGGAAGTGGTTTCAAAATGCTGGTGGCTTGTTATAGTCAATTAGTTCCCTTCTGTCTTAGTAGCTACTACTTTTATTCCTTTATTTTGCTTTTTGTGTCACACCCGGCAATGCACAGGGGTTACTCCTGGCTCATGCACTCAGGAATTACTCCTGGCGGTGCTCAGGGGACCATATGGGATGCTGGGAATCGAACCCGGGTTGGCTGCATAAAAGGCAAACGCCCTACCCGCTGTGCTACCTCTCCAGCCTCCAAGACTGACTACTTCTTGTTCTGAAGAGAAAGTTAACTCCTAAACAAATTTTAGTTTTTGACAGAAGGGTGGGCTGGAGCGATAGCACAGTGGTAGGGCGTTTGCCTTGCACGCAGCCAACATGGCCGACCCGAGTTCGATTCCTCCGCCCCTCTCGGAGAGCCCGGCAAGCTCCCCGTGACGTATTCGATATGCCAGACACAGTAACAACAAAGTCTCCAATGGAGACGTTACTGGGCCCGCTAAGCAAATCGATGAACAACGGGAGGACAGTGACGGACAGAAGGATATACATACCTTTCCTCTTTTTTTTTTTCTCCTTTCTTGCACCACATCCCGCAGTGCTCAGATGTTATTCCTGACTCTGCACTCAGGAATCACTCCTGGTGTTGCATGGGGACCACATGGGATGCTGGGGATCGAACTTGAGAGGGCCACAAGCAAGGCAAGCCCCCTACCCACTGTACTGTCACTCTGCCCCGTTAAGAAAAATTTGTTAACTGACTTGACACTTGCCATTGCAATTCAGTAATTCTATGTAAGAATAATATCTTATAAGTTCTTTGAGTCTCTGTATGTTATTTTTTGTATGTTTTTGTATATTCTGTATATTATTGCTATTGAAGTTACTAGGTAATTTTTTTGTCACTACAAATACATCCAGATGTTATTTCTTTACATTCTTTATAGCAACTTTGGAATTCTCATTAACACTCTCTATGTCTGAGCTACTTTAGTGCACTATGGTAAGCTGTGAGAAGTCTTATGGTATCAGAAGGCTCATCAGTAGAAACTTTGTCACGTTCTAATTCTAGCTCTGCTGCTGAGTCATTCAGTGACTTTGGTCCTGACTGGTAACTGTCTCCGTTATCAGATTTGAAATAGAAGCACTAACAGGGGCCAAGTGGCAGCAAATGCTGAAGCCGTGAGGCTACTTGAGGATGTTTACAAACCGACTGATGTTAGGATGCGCTTCCTGTTCACAATGCTCATCTCTTCGATGGCAAAAAGAATACACCGGTCCTCCTGTTTCCGCCTGAGAGGCTTGTTTTCCTTGCTTGGTGACCACTTTCCATCTTTCCTGCTTGGGCATCAGGGTCCTGTTGCTTTTTCACACAAGCTTATGTCCTCATCTGTATCCACATGGCCATCTGGCAGGTTGCCTGGTAGGAGGTTAAGAACTTGTTCGAAGTCATTGATTATTCCTCTCATTCATCTTCAGTGTATTCTCGTGGTGGATATAATCGCATGATATATTTAGAAAGAGACATTGGGGCCAGGATGGTGTTTAGAGTGCCGTCAGTCAGAACCCTCCTCTCTCAGACTCACCCTTCTGACTCTCATCCTTCATGAGCCAGGGCTGCGCACACTGATCGCATTTCCTTGTGCCCCCAGGGAGCCGACGTCAACTGCACCCACGGCACTCTGAAGCCCCTGCATTGTGCCTGCATGGTGTCAGACGCGGACTGTGTGGAGCTACTCCTGGAGAAAGGAGCGGAGGTGATGTTGGGGTCCTTTTTCACATTTTTCACATGATAGCCTAAAACGTGCTTCACGCTTTCTTAATTTATTGTCTCTTTTCTTATCTCTTCACACATGATACAACACTGGCATAGCCCATTCTAAAGCAAAATATGGTGGTAAATATATAAATGATCCTGAGGATTACATCGTTTGCTTTCTTCCAAGCTGTTCATGGTTCCAGAAGAGGGAAATCTATTCCATCCTTTCTCTTCAGCCTTTCTCCTGGAACTGCTTACTTTTTTCTAGTCAATTCTTACGACCCCGTGTACTGTGATTAAATCTAAACCAGTGCTTTTAGGCTCTGGTCCTCTGACCTGTGCCAGTGCACATAAATCTCTTGCCATTGCATGCAAAAGGCGTTGCTGCTTAACAAGTGATTTTCAACCACTGGTCTGCACACTAGTGCCCATCAGCAGGCATAAGAGGGTTGAAAACCACTGATCTACACCATGTGGGACCTACTGTCAAAGTTCACTAGCAGGTAAATATTATGAAGGAATCTCTTCCTCGGCCAGAATGATAGTATTTGCCTTGCATCCTGACGAACCTGGTAGGATTCCTGCCATCCCAGCCCTGCTAGGACTGATCCCACTAGAGAGCCAGGAGTAAGCCCTGGCTGACCATTGCTGAGTGTGGCCCAAAAACCAAACCAAAACAAAAAAGAATATCTTCCTCAAGATTGGGCTACTTATGCGATTATATCTTTTCTTTTTCTTTTTCTTTTTTCTTTTTTTGCTCTTTGGGTCACACCCGGCAATGCACAGGGGATACTCCTGACTCTGCGCTCAGGAATTACTCCTGGCGGTGCTTGGGGGACCCTCTGGGATGCTGGGGATCGAACTCGGGTCGGCTGCGTGCAAAGCAAATGCCCTCCCCACTGTGCTATTGCTCCAGCCCCGACTTACGCTTTTATATCTTCTACCTGTTTTCTTTTCTTTTTTTCTATATATCCTAAAACAAAAATATAGATCAGGAACCAGAGCAGTACAGCAGGTCGGATGGTTGTCTTGCATACAGCTGATCAGGGTTCAATCTCAGCATCCCGTGTGGTTCCCCAGCACCACCAGAAATAATTCCTGAGTGAAGAACCAGGAGTAAACCCTGAGCATTGCCAAGTGTGGCACCAAAAACCCAAATAGGGAAAGAGGGAAGGAGGCGTGGGGGGATGGAGGGAGGCTCAGTAGGATGTAAAGTAAACTAAATCGCCAAAGAAGCTGGCAGTTTCCACTAGGCGGGAGTAGCCTTAAAAGTGCATACACTGCAGGGGGCTAGAGCAGTAGCTTCGGAGGTAGGGCGTTTGCCTTGCACGCGGCCCAGCCGGGTTCCATTCCCCACATCCCATAGGGTCCCCCAAGCACCGCCAGGAGTGATTCCTGGCGGCAGAGCCAGGAGTAACTTCTGGGCATCGCTGGGTATGACTCAAAAAGAAAAAAAAAGTGCACATACTGAGGTGCTGATTTGAAATAGACATTTGTGTGTCAGTACTCGTCGGTACTGTTGAGGTGTCAGCCAGGATCCTTGTCCGTGCAGCTTTGTTCTGTCCTTGTCATTATTTATCCCATCACTTTTGTGAATGACCCTGAATGAAACGCCACTGACCAGTGTTGTTGATGAAAGTGAAAATAGCTTGGGAAAAAATTTTAACTATATTGGTTTTTCCCGGTGTGGGTCGGGTGAGGGCGCTGGAATAATCCAGGGGACAGGTGGTGGCCTTAGCTGCAGGCAGAGGGTGCTTTGTTGCTTAGAGGAAGTCCGGATTTCCAGAGGAGGGCCGGGGTGGGAGAGAGGGCTACTGGCTGATTTTTTTTTCCTCTGGTAGCAGACCAGATGTTTGGGAACTTCTGAGCTATATACCCTTGAATTCAGTTCAGTATTTCAGGTTTTTTTTTGACTATATTTTGCAGGGGAAGATAATACACTATTTTTAAGTTTAGATTTGGAAGTTTTGTACCTTCAGAGACAGGTGTTAGCAGTTTTAGGCTTTTCCAACACCTTTCTTCCGTATGCTTTTATCCAGGTTATCTTGTGAACCCAGAGGGGTTTTTTTGTTGGGATAATAAAATAATCCAGAGCCTTTACCCTGATGAGTATATTCAGGCTGCTTTCCAGTAAATGCCTTTCAGAGTAGTAACCAACACATACACTTCATCTCCTTTTTGTTTGGTTGGTTTTGGGGTCCTACCCAGTGGTGCTCAGGGCTTACTCCTTGTTCTACACTCAGGGATCACTCCTGGCAGGCTCAGGGGACTATCTGGGGTGCCAGGGATTGAACCCGGATCAGCCACATGCGAGGCCAATTCGGTGATGAAAGTGAAAATATTCCTCCCTGCTGCACTATTACTCCAACCCCCACCTTTTTTACCTCTTTCTCTGTGCTGAGTTGTTTCTGGTGTATAGCATAAACCGAAATATGCCCACCAGCTCATCAGTGCACAAACTAGGATACTGGTTGTTTGGGGAAAATTAGTTTCTTCTTTGCTCCTAAGCACCTGTCATATCGCCATCAGATTCCCTGGAAATTGTTTATCGACCCGCTTCTTTAGAACATCCATGGAAAAGTTCCACAGCGATTAGATACAGGTCAGCTACTTCCGCTCGACAGATGGTCTGCTGTAATGTATTCCTGCCTCTTTGCAGGTGAATGCCCTGGATGGTTACAATCGAACTGCCTTGCACTACGCAGCTGAGAAGGACGAGGCTTGTGTGGAGGTCCTGTTGGAGTATGGTGCAAACCCTAATGCTCTGGATGGCAACCGAGACACCCCGCTCCACTGGGCAGCCTTTAAGAACAATGCTGAATGTGTGCGGGCCCTCCTGGAGAGCGGGGCCGCCGTCAATGCTCTGGATTATAACAATGATACTCCACTCAGCTGGGCTGCCATGAAGGGAAATCTTGAGAGTATCAGTATCCTTCTTGATTATGGTGCAGAGGTCAGAGTCACCAACCTCAAAGGCCAGACGCCCATCTCCCGCCTCGTGGCTCTCCTAGTCAGGGGACTTGGAACAGAAAAAGAGGACTCTTGCTTTGAGCTCCTCCACAGGGCTGTTGGACACTTTGAACTAAGGAAAAATGGCATCATGCCCCGTGAAGTGGCCAGAGACCAGCAGCTGTGTGAAAAACTGACTGTTCTGTGCTCTGTCCCAGGAACTCTAAAAACACTGTCTCGTTGTGCCGTGCGCCGTGGCCTCGGGTTCCAGTATCTACCAGATGCAGTGAAGGGCCTTCCACTGCCACCTTCTCTGCAAGAGTACCTGCTACTAATAGAATAGTCTGGAAGAGATACACCAGCAGGCAGGCAACTCGGGGCGAGGTTTCCCCTCAAGTACTTTGTCCTGGAAAACCGGAAAAGCAGACATTCTTGTTGTGTGGTTTATATTTCCAGGCAACACGTCACAACAGTCACCTCCATAACATCTCACCTCCCCAAACCAAACAACCAAACAGGAAAAATCCCTCACTTTTGTTTTCTGTTTATTGCTTTTTATATTGCACCCTGCAAAAGAAGGGGTTCTTCCCCTCCCCCACTTCCCCTTTAGGGGAAAAAAGTCAACCGTGCAGCCAGATTTCTCTAGGAAGATAAGGAATATTTAAAGAATGTGTGTTTGGTTTTCCTTTGTGGACATGATTTCAGAAGAATCCCACGAGACGTATTCTAACTGATGTGAGAAAGTTAAAGAAAATTCCAGTTGCAGTTGCAGCCAAGTACACTGAAAGGGTGTGCTTTCATCATTGGACTGAACAGCGTCCCTAACTGAGTGTCATGTCTTGGGTAAACAGCAGTCTTTGCTTCTTTCCCGGGGTGTGCCCAGGGGTTTCAACAGTAGCTCAAAATTTCAGACCGATTGTCTTGCTGTTTTCCATAGAGTAGAGGACATAGCAGGTTCTCAGCAGCCCTGAGTACTAAAAGTTAAGAATTTCTGATGTAGTTTATCTTTCTCTGGTGCAATGCATTTCTCTTTTGCATTACAGATGAAAATGTGTGCTGTAGTGGGTTAGATAGATAGTCTGGGCTGCCTTTTCCCAGGGGTCATCTTCATTACCGATTGTAAGCGCACTCTGCCAAGAGTTTGGAGTTATATTTCCTTGAGTTGGTTTGGAAACTTTGCTTTTCCCTGATTCATATGAAGGAGTGGCGGGGATGGAATTGGGGCGAGGGGAAGCATTTTATGAGCTGTTTACCCAAAAAAGATCAGTTTTAATGAATAATACTTATTTAAAAATACTCTTCCTTTTTATGTTCCTAAACTAGATCAAGTTGTTATTGATCTTAGATTATCTATATGCAAATTTGAAAAACCTTTTCAAAAATATTGGTTGGGAACTACCAAAAAAAAAAAAGGAAAGAAAAGAATGAATTCTGCTGACACCGCGAATTTCGAAAAAGTGTTTCCTCTTGCCCTTTTGCTGTTTTTTGCTCACTTAAAAAAATAGAAATAAATAGTTCTAAAAGCAAGTTTGGTCATTTCTGTTGTTCGTACTTTTATCCACGTTATTTGATCACCCTGAGCCCCAGTGAAATCTGCTCTGAAACAGGGCTAACATCAACCCCTCACAGGTTGTTTTGGGGATTAAATAACAGGACTTGCTTGCCGCGTCCGGCGCTGCGGGCCGAGCCAGGGGAAGGCCGTCAGGGTGAAAGCAGCACTCGAGACACACAGGGCTCCGTCACGCAGGAGATGGTGAGGGATCTCTTTGTTGTCTCACAGCGCAGGTATTTATCCCCCTCCAAGTCAGGCAGGAAAGGGGAAGAGGCAAGCAGTGGGGTGGGATGAGTCACGCACTCTCAGTCGGCTGAGAGCCCCCCGGCCCTCGTAACCTTTACTTGTGTCTCAATGTGGTGGCTGCCACATCAGTTTTAGACATAACCACAGAGGACGTGCTAGACCGAGGGTACGCTCTAGATAAACATTTACAAGCTGGGATATTTCCCAAAACGGAGGCCGTGCTGTTGATACCAGGAGGTTGCCCATAATGTGAGTGTGGGGGAGGCAGCAGATCAGGCATCCGTTTTGTGCCAGGAGGCAACACTTGATACTTATGGTTAATATCTTTTCTTAAGGAACTGTACAAAGAGCATTCTAGGCTCTGACCAGCCTTCTCAGTCACTATTTAGGACTATTTTCAGATTATAGTAATAATCATATAGACAGCCAGAAAAAGTGATGTACTAAAGTTAATCCCCACTTTACACCTCTTCTGCTTCATCAAGCAAATCAGTAACTCCAACGAGCTTGAGAGAAACGTGTATGCTTGTGCCAACAGTCAGACCTGGTCATTAGAAGCTAACCTGGCATTCACGAGGCATCCAGTCAGTTTGGGCAGTTCGATAATTAGGAAAAAGCAGCTGTTGTCATGGAACAGAAAACAAACTGAAATAGCGACCACTCTCCAAAGCAGTATTTCAGCCTACTCACCAAACAAGGTTCAGGACTTGGTGCCTCTCTTTCCCAGGCTTTCAAAATGGCTCTGTCTTGGGGCCAGAGAGATGGTGCGGGGTAGAAGGTGCTTGCCTTGCACACAGGTTACCCAGACAGCTTGCCATATGATCCTGAGCACAGCCAGGAGTGAGCCCCGGGCACTACTATGCGCCCCCAAACAAAATGGATCTATCTGTCCACAGAAGGAAATATTCCCTCTTCCACACGGTGGAAGTACAGGGGGACAGCTCTTCTCGGGCTCTTTGTCGGGAGTCGAGATTCGAGACTGAAGGAAAGAAGCGACCGGCTAATGGGTATGTATGATGTGTATGATCGAGAGGTCAAACCCAGAGCTGGGCCGATAGTCCAGTGGGGAGGGTGTTTGCCAGGCACGTGACTGGCCGGAGTCCAATCGCCGCATCCCACATGGTCCCCCAAGCTCATCAGGAGCGATCACTGAGCCAGGAATAAGCCCTGAGCACTGTCTGGTGTGGCCCCCAAACAAAAAGTGCACTTTAGGACTGTCCTCCCACTCATCGATTTGCTCGAGCGGGCCCAGTAACGTCTCCATCGTGAGACTTGTTACCGTGTTGGCATATCGAGTACGTCACGGGGAGCTTGCCAGGCTTTGCCGTGCAGGAACAAAAAGAGATCAAACACCATTTTATGCTTAAGGCATTATCTGTTGGCTGTAGGATGCAAGGAATCTATTGGCAATCGAGGATGCAAGAGGAATTCGTCTAGAGTAAACGTGAAGACCAGGCAGTGTGCTATATTCTAGGATCCTGTGTACTGAACCAAGAGATGCTGAAAAGAATCCAGGATGCAGAGAGAAGTCTGCACGGCGAACGCCTAGGTTCCACCTCCCCGCGTGTTCTGTCTGTGGAGCATCTGCTGGTTGGGGCTGGTCGCATACCTTCTGCTTGTGAAGACAACATGAGGACCCAAAGCACAGTGACCAGTTGGCATTTATTAGTGTAGTTAATATTTGTCACTGGAGTAAAAGTCGTGGGGGAATCGAGACTTTGTTATCACAAAGAAATAAATAAAGCTTACTTTTAGGAAAATTCTAACCGAGGAACTGAAATCTAGCAGTAGCACTAGAGAAGCCCAGTCTTGTGTGACAGATGAAGCCGGGGTGGAAGTCATGACAAACTGAACCTAAAAGGAGCTTTCACTACCTTCTGGCAGAGCTGATTGTGGCTGCAGTTACAGAATTAAAGGAAACCTAGTGGAAAAATGAGCTAAAACACTTGGGAATACATGGGGGCGTGGATCTGTCAGGCAGTGAGCTGATTGTGATGGGACGATCCATTCCCCTCCCTCCAGAGTGGTTTAGACGGGAGCTTCTCCAGACCGCTTCCGATTGATGTGCTCCAGGTGGGCGTGCTCAGAGGTATCCAAGTCGATCTCATACTTGGCCAGGATTTTCAGGATGGGCCTCAGCTTCAGCCACCACTGTTCCTTGGGGATGCGGTGCCTAGAGGGGGGATGATGATGGCGTATTTCGGCACCCCAGTCGACTTCTATCACAGGCTATTAGAAATAGCACAGAAGGGGCTGGTCTGGGGCACAGGCATTAGGCCAAAGGGAGGGAGGACTTAAACCAATCAAGTTTTACTCCTACGAGACAAGGACTGAAGACGGGGAACAAATCAAGAGCACAGTTTAAATCAGTGAGAGAGGGAACACTCCAGAAAGTCAATGTACTCACTCAAAATCTGTCTGATCCTTCAGCTCAGTCACTGGCTGAAAGACCAGGGCCCTTTTACGCATACCGAGAACACAGCCAGAGTCTGGGGTGTTGGCAAAGATCCGCCCTGCAATAAGGAAAGGTCAGTCAGCTTCGAGCTGGAGCAGGAGCCTCTCTGGAGATGAAGGTCACCCCCTCACCCCACCTACCATTACGGTAACTCTCTTTGATTTTCCCAGACATCCAGTTCATAGCCTTGGCGCCCATCTTTGTGGCAAAATTCCTGTCAAAGGGGGTTGGACTGCCACCCTGCAGGAACAATCACAAAAATTACAGAGGGCCCAGAGAGATAGGACAGTTGCCTTGCATGCAGCTGAGACCTGAGTGCCATCCCTAGCACCAGCCCCAAGCCCCAGGAGTGATCCCTGAGCACAAAGCCAGGAGTAAACCCTGAGCACTGTTAGGTGTGGCCCCCAAACGAAAAACTATTACAGAGGGAAGGACATCAGTGCAGTGGCAATGCTATCAGAAAACACGGAGAAAAGGGAATGGTCCCTGGTTACTGCCAGAAGAAGTCTGTGAGAAGAAATGCTGAAATATGTAGGGGACGAGGATGAGCTGACCCAGCATGGTTGGCCACTGGTCACCTAGAAGAGTAACTTGCTTATAGGGAAGAGCGGTCTCACAATGGTCTCTTCTAGTCTGAGAGCGGCCACACCCTGCTGGTTTCCTTTGGTGCTAGTGGCCACTGGGTCAGTTCTCTGCCCCTCCTCAGCCTAGCAGCTTTTGTCGGTCACCATCATCAGTGGTGCAAAAGTGATCGTGGAGACCCAATCTAGAAGTTCTTGATGGTACCTCAGAATAATATAGCACAAGTAGGTGGAAAAGTGGGCAGTCGGGAAGAAAAAGAGGAAATAGTTCATACTCTGTCCAATAGGACTTCATTCCTGCAGGGGCTGATAAACTCACACAGTACTAGGAATCCATGTAGGGCTGTGAAAGGTAAAAGGCCGTCGGCTGGAAATGTCTGGGGTGGAAGAAGCCCGAGGCCACTCCTACCACCTGAGAGCAGCCTACTTGGATGGGGACTGAGTGAGGGTGACCGGTTTCCCTTCTTGAGCCACCTAGTTGGTGGAGACGGAGCTGACCACCAGCACAGCGCCTGCCCTCACTCAACAGGTGCCTAGGATACGCAGCAGTGTGGTGAGGAGCGCAGCGGGGAACGCCAGCATGAACTCAGCCAGCGAGGATGAGCGGTTCTGAGAAGGGTCCTTCTCTCTGGATCTCATTTTCCTCATCTGAATCAGCGGTGCTCTCCTGATGCTGCTTGTCACCAGGGGAAAATGCAGCAATCCCTGAAGCCATTTTTAAAATGTCATCGCTCAGGAGAGAGGTGCTACGGGCATCTAGTGGGTAAAGTCTGGGGGTTATACAACATATAGAACAGTGACCCACAACAAAGAGTTATTCAGCCCCAAATGGCAACCGTGTGCTGACACTGACAAGGGGGGCGGGGGAGGAGAGAGCGAGAGAGAGAGCGAGCGAGAGAGAGAGAGAGCGAGAGAGAGCGAGAGAGAGAGAGAGAGAGAGCGAGAGAGCACTCACTGCGTTGGAGGAGGCCTGGGTTCAATCCCCATCACCACATGGTTCCCCAAACACAGCCAAGAGTGACCCTAATCACCAAGCGAGGAGTAGCTCCTGAACCGCCAGGTGTGGCCCCAAAGCCATAATAATGTATTGAGGGGCTGGAGCAGTAGCACAGCGGGTAGGGCGTTTGCCTTGCACGCGGCCAACCTGGGTTCGATTCCCAGCATCCCATATGGTCCCCTGAGCACCGCCAGGGGTAATTCCTGAGCACAGAGCCAGGAGTAACCCCTGTGCATTGCCGGGTGTCACCCAAAAAAGCAAAAAAAAAAAAAAATAATAATAATATATTGAAAAACAATAAAATAACAAATGCTGCCTTAAATGAGGAGGAGGGACTGCCTAATACCTTAAAGCTATTATCTCTGGTTTTTATTTTTATTTTAGGCACCATGGTTTAATTTTGGTAGGTATTAGTAATGTATTGATAATAATAATAGTAATGTATTAACAGTATAAATAAAGGTAGGGTTTTATGTAAGAAACATTTCAACTGCACACCTTCCACTGGAGTGTCAGTTACCCGTTCCCCTCCTCTTCTGGGTAAAGGTATTTTGATTGTCCTCGATTGCAAGCCCAGCCCCTGTGACGGCACTGAAACTCCATGGAGCTCGGCTGGCCGTGTGTGGCGAGCGGGCCCGGGCGTCTTCCCTACCTGCTGCATGTGGCCAAGCACGTTCTTCCTGCTGTCAAAGATGC